AAACACACACACACACACACACACACACACACACTCACACACTCTCTCTCTCTCTCTCTCTCTCTCTCTCTGCCACACACACACACACACACACACACACACACACACACACACACACACACACACGCAAGCACAAACATACAGCGAGGGGGAAAAACGCAAAGACAACCTGGGCCACTAGGGGTAAAAAGAAAATTTGGGAAACGTTGGCAAGTACTAGGACATTTTGCAAACATGGACAGTACCCAGTAGGGGTATTTTGCAAAGATGACAGGTCCAACCGACGCCGGGGGCATTTTGCAAAGCATTTTTTGTGTCAGAGGGGTATTCCGCTCTACCCAGATCTTTTAGGGGCATTTTGGCATATATCTCAACTTATAGGGGTATTTCACAAATTATCCCTTGATTAAAATACTTGTTTTTTGGTTTTCTATTTAAAAATAAAATAAAATAAAAACACTTCATAATCCAAAACAAAAAATATAGGGTTGTAGCCTTGTAGGTATTTTCAAATCCTACAACTCCATATATATATATATATATATCGTCAAATATATATATATATATATATATATATATATATATATATATATATATATATATTTTTTGGTTCATTAATTTATTTTTTAAAATATGTGAAACTCTCGGCTGCGGCCAACCGCGAGGGCCATGGCCTGCGGAAGGGATCCCGACCGCAATCCGAGTTTGACCCCTTGGTCGTGGCCGCGGGGGATTCATAGACTGCTCCTACCAACATGTCAAGCTGTCCCAGGGGACTGATTCTTTCAAAAAAAAAAAAAAAAAAGTTTAAACTCATCTTCATCCGTCATGGATAAAAATAGATCACTAGTATTCACTACCTCTGTCAGCAATAGGGGAATTATAAACATCTGGCAATGAATTGAAACTACATACAGTGAGAGTGTATCCTCAACACCAGGATTTTCTTTTGCATGAACCCTAGCGTACATTTTGCAAAATCAGAGGGAGAGGGAGTTGCCCCCCGAATCGTGCTTGCCTGGAGTTCCGTAGTCTTGACCCTTCCCAAGGTGGATGGACATGTGCCAGTGCCGTGGAGTCAGTTAGATGATCTTAATCGTCTCTAAGCAAATGCTGAGTATATCCTGCTAGGTTGAAGGAGGCCCTTCGCCCAGTAAAGTGGTTTAGATTGAGCAAGGCCTCCCCAACGAAAGTAGCATCACTGCAATGACAACTAGAGCACCGTTGCCTACCTACAAATGATTGGCTGATAGATAGGCCGACTCTGAAACAGTGAGGGCTTGCCCTGCCATGGTGCAAACTCTGCTCAGCCGCCTTCCCATCCCGATGTCGACCGGAGACAATTGAGCACATCTTTTTACAATGCCCAGGATCGGTATGGCTATGGAGGCGGTGGGACAGGGTATGGAGACAGATGGCCGCCACAAAACCTTGGCCATGGGACTGGGGGACACTGCTGTGTGAAGCATGACACCCGTAGCAAACCACCACCTTTGAGGACAATATGTTTAAATTGGGGAGGTGGGTGGTGCTCTGGGCCCTATGGAGGAGGTGTTGCGTTCTTGAAATGGAGGGAGTGCGACTAGATGGATCAACCCTGGTGGACGAAATTAGGCTGCAAGTGCAAGCCAAAATCACTATCCAATGGGAGAAGGTGAAGGAAAAACTTACATCCCTACATGTCAAAGCAGAAATCAAGAAATACATCAAACAATTCAGTAATGACTGGCTGGGGGGGGGCTTGGGGAATCCCATTGAAAAGTTTTAT